CGCCGAACTGGGAGCCACAGCCCCACCTACGGGCGGTGGAGGCTGCGGCTGCCCAACGCTGAAACTCTGCGGCTGGGCGAGAGTGGGCTGGCTCATTTTCTCCGACGGGGGTAGCTGTGACACAGCAGTCAAGGAGCTGTCAGTTCCCGAGTCCAGCCCGTGCGCCCCCTGCATGGAGGCCACCACCACCACCACCGACCCTCCGGTGGCGCCCAGGCCACTGTCCCGCTCCGCAGTCTGCTCCAAAGTATTGCTGTGTCTAATGCAATCCCCGGACCTAGTGAGGACGCTACTATCCGAATCCCTCTCGTAGTATTCCATACACGTCCATCGGCCGCGCCGATACGGCTCTCCGCTCCCGTGGTCTAGCTTGATCACGCGGAAACGGGAACTACAAGTGGCGGGGGGCTGAGATGGAGTTGCACTACCCGGGCCCGGAGTGGACCCCGGAGTGGTGGGCGCCGCCAAGGGCTGGGCGAGTGCCCCCGCCACGCTCCGGGCCGACACGCCGCCGCCTCCGTTGGCGGGCGCAGCTGAGGCGGCTGCCAGCTGCCCATCTAGGATGAGGTTCGGCGACACGGTCCCGGGAGTTTCCGCATCCCCGACATTGTTGAGCGTCTCTTCGGAGGAGCTGCGCTCGCACACCTCCTCAGGGCCGTAATCCGTGGCCCGAGAAACGTCGAAGATCTCGGAGGACACGTCCTCCGTGCGCGACTCGTCCGGGTCGTCCAAGCTCTCTGTGTCCTCGGTGATGCTAGTGGGCTCCTGAGCCGTGGTGACACTGGTGATCTGGAAGCAGCTCTTCTTCTTGGCCGGCATCTTGGACATGGTGGAGAAGGCTGGAGGGCAGAGGCTCCTCTGAAATCCCACCGGAAACCGAAAAGGGGGGAGCAGGGGCCCCCAAAGACAAAGTCCGAGTTCGCGCCTGGGTCTACGGCCCGCGCCGCAAGTCACGGACTGCTCTGGGCGCCGGCCTCTCGGCGCGACATCCTCCTCCTTCCTCCTCACCTCCAGCGGCCGCGGCGCCTCAATTCAAGCCGTCAGTGACTGCTGGAGCGTGGTTCAGGGGCGGGCCGGCT